TACCGGGCAGTTCTGTTTGTGACGATATATATGTGACAATATATATCCACGTGGGCGGCCTTGTACGCAAGAGGTTTTGAACAGGGGGAGTTGTAAGAAGATAAAAAATGAATTGATTTTTTTTTTGTTTTTTCGCTTTCGCGCTCTGACATCTTTGTGACAATATATATGACATCCTGGTTGGTCTTGTCCCGTCGTTTGGCCTGTGTATGTTGGGGCGGTGCTTGCATGTGGGACTTGTCATCTGGGATCTGTTTTGTTGTATTTGGCTGTTCCCTTCCTCTTTTCTTTGCCTCTTTGCCTTTTGGCTGTGTGCAAGTGGGTCGATATGACACACGAGGGTGGGGGCAGCCGCTGCTCAACCTACATCCACGTGGGCGGCCTTGTGCGCAAGAGGTTCTCAACAGGGGGAGTTGTAAGGAAGAAGATAAACAAACGAATTATTTTTTTCTTGTTTTCTTCTGTTTTTTTTCGCCTTTGGGCTCTGATATTCATGTGACGATATATATATATACAACAACTCACACTGTCGCCTAAACTGAGGCTCGGAAAAAATAAGCAAATGCTACAAAAGAAAGATAAACAATCAATAACTTAATTTCTATTTTACGATATATCCGACGAAACAGTTTGTCACAGCCCCTCGTTTGTTGTCCTCTTCTCCTTCTCCCTCTCTGCCTACGGTTTACCGGGCAGTTCTATTTGACGATATATATGTATATATCTGTTTGGCTATATATCTATATATTGTCACAATAATATCAGAGCGCAAATGCGGAAAAAAGGAAAGAAAAACAGGAAAAAAAAAGGAAGAAAAACAGGAAAAAATGAATTCAGTTATATATGTATATATATTGTCATTGTCACAAAAATATCAGAGCGCAAATGCGAAAAAAAAGGAAAAAAAAAGGAAGAAAACCAGGGAAAAATGAATTCAGTTTTTTATCTTCTTCCTTATAACTCGCCCTGTTCAGAACCTCTTGCATTCATATAAATTTTATATATATGATATTTTTTTGTTTCCTTTGTTTGTTTTTTTCGCTTGTGTGCTCTGATATCTATGTGACGA